ATTTGCCTTTTGGGGGGGTTGTTGGGTTTTTTGGGTTGTTTTTTTTTTTTGGCATTAAAAAAATGTTTTCTTATTCAGCCAATTTTTCTGGTGTGTCTGTGACAGAGCCAAATCAAACTTTGGGTACTTAAAACAGTCCAAATTTTGACAAGTTCTATGCTCTGAAAGAAACCTTATCTCTAAGCAAACATTCATCAATATTCTGAGTAATGATCTCATTTTGTAAAAAAGTCCGATAAGGAAACTCTGCTTTCCCTAGCTAGCTTCACTAACCTTGAAAGGAAAGAATCCCCACGTTTCTAACCAGACTGTAGCAAAATCAGACCTAGAACAATTTTGATCACGTCAAGGTGGATTATAACCTGCTTGCTGCTGCTGTCTCATAAATATGCCCCACACCACCCCCCTTTTTAAAACTCTTGCCACTTCTGGCCACCTTGTCTGCTATCCAGTATTGTTCTCCTTTCTTTCTGATGCCCATGTTTACTTTTCCTCTCTGTTTGCTTACATTTATAATCTTCGCTTCTTATGTTACATAGAGCACAGGGGCAGAACCTAAAGTTCACCCCGATTCAGGCGCCTTGCCAGACGCTGGGGGCTTGGCGCCGAGAGGGAAGTCCGTGGAACACCTAGCCTGCGCCTTGGCAGAAGCGGGGTCTGCCTTGGGAATCTTGCCGCAGCCTCCATTAAGAGAGACGGCCTCAAACTTGCCGCCTTGAAGTACACCTGCTGGCTTTCTGTTTTCAGACACTTTTCAGAAAATCTTTGTGTGTTAGATGCATTGGATTAAATGCTTCATGCAGGTGACATCAAGAATTGCTGGGGTTTTATACGAGGAAATTCTCCTTGCTTGTGGGTCTTGGCTCAGCAGATCTGAAAGTCTGCTGACCCGTGGCTCCCTGTGGGGTAGCTCAGTGTCACCTGAATGTCAGGAGAGTGCCGACAGGCTGGAGGGAAGGAAGGAAACCTTAGAATGGCGCCCTTGCGATGAGCCTGCCGGTATATTTCCATGTCTCACCAACACTCTCTGCATCCCAAGGGGCGTGGGGCACTTGTCTGCTCCCGTCAGGACTGTCAGGTGGCACTGCCCGCACCTGACTCCCAGTCCATCTGCAGGGCCATCTCCTACCCACAGAGCTACCTCCCATTCCCCAGCGGGATCTTGACCATGGGCATCAGTGTTTTCCGCTTGGGACATCCCTGTGAGGTGATCCGGTATTTTCTGACCCTTCTGGTTTTGCCCCATGTTTAAAAACTAAGACACAAACTCCCTTCAATCGGTGGCACTCAGCTTTCTGAGCAGTATGTTCGGACACTTGCAAACAGTAATTCCGTAATGCTTGGCTCTCCCAAATACACCGGGGCCTGCAGCCACCTGAGGGACGCGCGTGAGCTGAGCAGGTGCAAAGGCACTTCATCGGAGGGTAATTGGTTGCACACTGGGAGCCCCTCTTCAAACAGTGGAGTGCTAGGAAAACACTAGCCTGAACTAGTCTCCTTTACAAAGACAGAAGGGCCGCCTTCCTGGTGCGTCGCCTGGAGTGGGACCCTCCAGGCCTCCTACAGCTGACTTCGCCACAGCCCCAGGTTGCTGGCTCGGAGAGATCCTGCCTTCCCTCAGTTCCCGGGCCAGCTCTTCGGTGGACCAGTGGACTGAGTCCGTGCAGCCCAGTGGGTGTGCCCCAGAGGCGACTTTGCCGGTGCAATTGTTTTACCGAATCTGTACACCATGGGAGAGCACGTTTGACAAGCATTTGTTGAGCAGCTCGTGTCTATCGGACGCTGTGCCGGGCAGGGGGGTAGAAAGGTAGCTGAGGTGGGAGCTTCCTTCAGGGAACTTACTGTCTAGTGGAAGAGTCCACCTGAGCAAGTGCAGCGGTGAAGGTGCGCACGCGGGACCCCGAGGGAGACCTGGCCCGCCCGACAAGAGAGCAGCAGTGAGCGACCCCCAGGAGCAGTGGAGGGGCTGGGTAGTCAAGGGCTCTGGGAAAGGACCGGCCAGGCATGGGCGGGGCCTGCCCGTGGCTCAGTGTGACCAGGGCACGGGGACAGGGAGGGCAAAGACACCGCTCTGGATGCGGGCAGGAGGCCTTGCGTGCCGTATCGACACACGTGGGCCTGGTTTCAGGTTAGCTTTGGAGAGATTCTTGGGGGGTGGGCAGACCCATGTGATGCGCACACTAGCCAGTTCGGGGAGCGGGGGAGGTCCTCGGGACAGAGCCCTGCTCCCTGGCAGCCTAGGAACTCCCAGGTCCTCCGCTGTGCCTCCTGGTGGCCCCTTACCTGCCGTCCTTTATTTGTATGCTCTCTCTCTCCAAAGTCTACCAACATCAGTGTTTCCTAAATCCCCATTTTAAACCTTGAGGTTCAGACCGACGGAGAGTCTTGCCAGAGCACTGAACTCAGATTTGTCTGCTGCTCTGTTCTCAGAGGCCAAGAAGGTACCCCTGCGACGTGGAGCTGCCTCTCCTGGGGTGAAAGTTTAAAGGTCGTGCATGCACAGCAGGGCCGCACAGAGCTCTGCTTTGGGGGGACCTGTGTGGGAGAAGCTGCACTTCGCAGGGGATGGGGTTGGCAAGAAAAAAATCACAGCAGGCTTCCTGTAAATAGTGTCATTCTCGTGTGTATGTGAAGTGGAAGGTGCGGCCATCAATGAGACTGAGGACAGGTCCTGCTTGCTGCCTGGCCCAAACCATCCACTTACAGAGGGGAGCAGAGGCAAGGAGGGCTGGCCCCGCGTGGCCAAGGGCCCTGGGACTGGAGGACCCCCCAAAAAACACCCAGGAAGTCTTGTGCAGACGTCACTTCTGCGTCCCGCCTCTTATCAACTTCATCTGACCCCGGCCGACTGCGAGCACTCCTCAGCCCCCCGCCATCTGGCCCACCCTGCCTGGCACCGTGTCATCCTGCTTCCTGTGACCTGAGCCCTGAGCCCAGGCCCTGACACATGGGGGTGAACGAGTGCGTGCATGATGCACAGAACGAGGCAGACGATGGAGGAGAAACTGCTCTTGTGGACTTACTGGCAATAGGGTTCTTTGAAATTAAAATGGCCTCTGTACAGTGCTGTGCGCCCAAGCCTGAGCTTCCACGCGTGTAACAAGTGCAGACAGATCTTGGGTGTTCCTGACTTGTCTTCTCTCACATGCACAGCATTTACTCTTGGCCGTGCTGATCCTGGTCCCCGTTTTGACTCTCGGAAGTATCGACGCATAATCCTGACGTACGCCCCATGGGTGTATGCACTGTGTCCCTGAGCAGGATGGCCACGCGACGGGGCTGTGAGCTTACTTAATGAGACCCCTAGACTTTGGTCAGTGCCTTGAGGAGATAGCAGGTCCTTCCAGGGAAAGTTCCAAAGGCCTCTAACGAGAACTTTGAGAGTTCAGGAAGGTAGGCCTTCAAGTAGGAACGTACCCTCCCTCAGGCAGACAGAGTGAAGTTCAGTCCATCTGTAAATGGTGAACTCCCGGTATGTGCCAGGCCTTACTATGTACTTCGGGGTACTGCGGAAGTGCCCCAGCCCGTCTCCTAGGCCTTGGAGCCTGTTAGGGAAGAAAGAGATACACTTCGAAATGTTGGCAACAATGTAAAGCAACCGACGTGAGGTGCCAGCAATAGAGAAAAGCTCTACAAGTTGAGAAGGGGAGGTCATCCCGCCATGCAAGGAGGGTGCATGGTCGGCCACGTTGGTGTGAGGGTCAGCGAGTTTCCTGAATTGCACAAGAGAGCTTGCAGAATCAGGAGGCGAGCAGAAATAGCTGTAATTATTATAATGACCGTGATAACATTCTGTGTTACAATATAGAGGCACCGGGCTCAGCCAGCACCCAGGGGGTGCACTCCATGCTGGGGCTCAGATTCCGGCCTGGAAGATGAAGGCCACCTGCTCAAGGCCGCCTGCTCCCGGGGTGCAGCACCCCGTCCTCCCCACGCCCCCTGAACCAAGGGCTGAACCGTGAACTTTTCCTGATTTCAGAAACACACTTAAATTTTTATGAATGTTTTCCTTACTGTGAACTAATATTGCTATAACAGTTTCTCATGGCAGTGTTTTAATATAAAAAATACGAATAGGAAAATAAAATTACCCATAATCTTGCCCCTCTAAGACAAGGCGGGAACATTTTGTGCGTTTCCTTCCAGGTTTTCTGCAGTGTTAGATGTGGGGGTGTTGGGACGCGAGCAGCCCAGGGAGAGCTGTGCCATCGTACAGCGTGACCAGCCCTAGAACTATCAGGCTTTTGTTTTAAGTTTATTTTTATTTATTTTGAGAGAGAGAGAGCAGGGGAGGGTAGCAGAGGGAAGGGGAGACAGAATCCCAAGCCATTGCGGGGCTCAGCCCCACGAACTCTGAGATCGTGACCTGAGCTGAAGTCCAGAGTCAGATACATCGATTTTTAAGTGAGATGAATTTGCGCCCCCTTGTGTTGGAAGAATTCCCTTTCCTGCTCAGAAAGCAGAGCGAACACACGGACCAACGCGGTACACTCTGGGAAGGGAGTCCTGTTCACCGGGTAGTGTCGCCCCAGCTAAACTGAGCTGCGGTTGTCCCAAAGCCGGGACTGCAGAGCCCCGAGATCTGACCCTGCCCCTCCTTGAGTGAGCGGGCAGTGGTCAGGGCCTTGCGGTGACCTCGTGTGGTCTCCGTGTCCAAATTTTCCTGTACAGAGACTCTCTGAAAGCGCTTTCCTGTACAGAGACACCCCCCCAATCCGATTCGGCAGGGCCACAGTTGGGCCAGGGAACTAGCAATTCCAGCACGTTCTCAGGAACATCACAGGGGAGGCTGCACTTGGAGAGCCACTTCTCCGGGGTTTCCTGTGCAGTCTGCATTCCTGCCTTCCTGTGCCCCTTATCCCCGAAACCGCCTTGCTCCCGCTGACCTGTGCAGAGTTAGCCGAGGGCATTGGCTGACCTCCAGCATTGGGCTTCCGAAGCCAGGCGGCGAGGCCACTCAGTCTCTGGGAGCTCACGTGTTTGGGGCCCTGGTGTTTCAGGTGGTGCGAGCAGCCGAAGAGGCAGCATCCACACTGGCCAGCTCCATCCACCCGGAGCAGTGCATCAAGGTCCTGTGCCCCATCATCCAGACGGCCGACTACCCCATCAATCTGGCCGCCATCAAGATGCAGACCAAAGTCGTGGAGAGGATTGCCAAGGAGTCCCTGCTGCAGCTCCTGGCGGACATCATCCCCGGCCTGCTGCAGGTGGGCCCATGGGGCCGGAAGGCCGGGTGTGGGGGCCGGGCCCTCCCCACTTGCCTGAGGGGCGGCCAGCGAAGGGCGGGCACTGGCCTGTGCTTCGCACCCGCCTCGGGCCCTCTGTTTTCCAACATGCCCTCCCCTGAGTGTGGCAGGAGTAGCTTCCCAGCAGCCTGGAGCTGTGGCTCCAGAACGAGCTTTCTGTTTGCTGGAAATATGTTTTGGTCATTTTTGCTGCTGTCGCTCACGCCTTCAGCAAACCCTTATTGCACATCTACGGGCCCCAGCCCCGGGCTGGGTGGCACATCCTTGGGCCCCAACCCCGGGTACGGCGGGCCGTGGGGGTGCCAAACCCAGTAACGGTCCTTTCTCTGCTGTCCAGCAAATGTTTACTAGGAGCCCTCTCAGTGCAAGGCATGTAGTTAGACTCTGGAAGATAAAAGACATTTGCAGTGCACAGTGTGTCCCCAGGGCTGTGTCAGCCTCCCGTGGGACAGGGTGTGACCCTGCGGGCAGCTGGCAATGGGGGCACCGAGTGCAAGTTACTCTAGGTGCGAGTGGGGGTTTCTGAGGCCAGAGGCCAAGAGGTGATTTCATAGGGAAGTATTCACAGAAGAGCTGGTGTAGACGTGGGCCCTGCAGGGAGTGGGGAAGGTGGAGAGAAATCAGCTTCATGTAGAATAAATGCTGCTGCTTGCCGAGCGCTTGGCTCGGGAGTTCAAGTGCAGACTCTTGGGACTGGGTTATCCCAGGCAGAGGGAGGACAGAGGCTGCAGCATCCAGGGCCAGGCAGACCAGTAGACGGAGGCCCAGATGTAGACACGCAGGTATCCAAGCTATTTCTCCCTCAATTTCCTTCCCAGATCTCTCCCTCCCTCTCTTCCTCTCTCCCTCCCTCCCTCTCCCTCTCCCTCTCCTCTTCCTTCTCCCCGACCCACCTTTCTCTCTCTCAGTGTGTGAGGCAGCACGCTGTGCAGGGAGGGCCTCCCTTTCCCACCTGCAGACACCAGGCCAGCCACTCCAGACCCTGTGAAGCGGTGACGTCCCGGAGCCAGCGCTGCGGTTTCACTGGCATATGGCAGTCGTGTCGTGCTTGCCAGCGTCAAGTGCGAGGTTGAACCATGAGGGTGTTGTGGAGACACTGATGAGACATTGACCATGAGGCGGGTCTTTGATCTCATCTCCTGTCCCTTCTGACCCCGCAGGGCTACGACAACACCGAGAGCAGCGTGCGGAAGGCCAGCGTGTTTTGCTTGGTGGCGATTTATTCCGTAATCGGAGAGGAGCTGAAACCTCATCTTGCGCAGCTCACGGGGAGCAAGGTATATGTGGTGTCCCGCCGGCCCGCTCGTCTGCTGCGGGCTCTCCCCTGTGCCCACTGCATTCCTCCTGCCTTCATGCCAGCATCGCTGCGGGGGAAGGACAGGTCCCCACGTCCGCCGCCCTGTGCACAGAGCTCTCATGCCTAAAGCCGAGCCGCTGCCCCCCCTCCCCCATGTTGGAATTGGTGGAATAGGGAATAGCAGGCGGAGGAGAGCGGAGAGAGTGCCTGCTGGTTAAACATAAACTTTGGTCAGCTGAGCCAGCCCGGCGACAGCAGGAGGCGCTCCAGCAGGAGATGCAGGGGCCAAAGCCAAAGCCCGGACCTCCGCAGGCTGTGTGACAGGGCCACCAGGGGCTGCCCATGGGCAGTGCGGCCATGTGGAGTTGAGGGCAGTCCGGGGAAAGCCTGCAGCCAGAGGTGCCCTGCTTGCTCCGTATGGAAGGGGCCCGTCTTTCCAGGCAGAACCGTTCCCGTGACATGACCCCACGTCCTGGCCAGAGCCCAGCTTCCCCAAGTGCCGGCAAAGCCAGCAGGCCTCCCCCCTGCACTGCCAGCACTCCAGGCTGCCGCGTCCTGTCCTGGGCGTCATGGGGCGGGGAGCAGTGCCCCTGATGGCCCCCTGGGTTCCAGTAGTGTCCACCCCTCAGTCGTGACAGTCCCTGTTGAGGCTGCATGCAGCCAGGGAACCCCTGCCTGAGCACCCCGCCCTTACTGCCTGAGAACCTTCCTGCAGACAGAGCTCAGCGCTGGGTGGAAAGGAGGTTGGGGGGCCGCCCCGCCTGACTGTGTTTGCCCTCCCTTCTCCCTCTCTTTCCTCCTCACTGACCTTCCCTAGCCACCATCTGGAAGCCCCTGAGCCAAGAGTCCCCAGCAGTGTGCTAGGCCAGGGACCCTCCTCTGTCTCGGGCCTCCATTGGCTTGTTCTAGGCAGTTCTGGCAGCAGCGAGAACTGGAAGACCCTATCCGTGAAGGGATTCGAGTTGTACGGTTCAGCTCGGATAACAGTAGCCCCGAGTTTTGTCTGCCAGGCAAACTGTCCCGCCCCCTCACTTGCCTCTTCTGCTAATGGACAAGAAGACAGTGTTTTTCTCGTCCCTGTTGTGCAGCCGACCTGCCGGCGTTGCTCTCAGCAGCAGCCTTGGCTCCTGAACCCTGTCCTGACCTGCACCAGTTACAGCTCCGGTCCGTCGGAGGGCGTGGGGAGGCCACTAGGCAGCCCACTTCATGCCGTGCTCCCAGTCCTCAGCTGTGGCAGCTCCGGCGCGTCGGCGTGCGCTTCATAGACGCGGCCGCACCTCTCCCACCCGACGTCGGTAGCTGCAGACGGTGCCAACACGGCCTCGGCTTCCTAGACAAGAAACACCGTCTAGAGCTGTGGCTTCCTCATTCTCAGCATCGTGTGGCCCGTCAGAGCACTCTTCCATTGCTTACCGTGATACGCAGCTCCGTAGAGAAAGGCCCCACGTAGGTGGCGGCCAGGACACGCAAGGGCCGTTTTGAGAGTGTTCCATTGCTGTGGCAGCGGGGTCTATCATCAGGTTTGGGGTGAAACGCCCTGCCTTCTGGTCTCTACCTGCCCCCCCCAGTCATGTGACCTTCAACAAACTCGCTTTTCTTTTCCTCAGTTTTTTAAAAATGGTGGCAAAATACTCGTAACAAAATTTCCCATCGTACATGTTTGAGTGTACCATCTGGTGTTAACACACTCAACAGCGTCAGCATCCTCACCGTCTGTCTCTAGAATGTCTTCCGTCATGGAAAACTGGAACCCTACCCCCGTCGAGTAGTAATCCCTCATTACTCTGTCCTCCTGGCCCCTGGCCACCACCGTTGTACACTAGGCCTCTCTCAGTTTGACTACTCAGGGCCCTCATAAAAGTGACACCATCTGTCTTTTTTGTGACTGGCGTCTGTCACTTAGAATAATGTCCTTGCGGTTCATCCATGTTGTAGGTTTGTCAGAATTTCTTTCCTCTTTAAGGCTGAGTGATACTCCATTACATGCTCATACCACAGTTTGCTGATCCATTTTTTGGCAACGGGCGCCTGAGTTCTTGCCATCTTTTGGCTGTTGTGAATAATGCTGTTGTGAAAACACGGGTACAGGTACATTGAGACTCCGCTTTCAGTTCTTTTGCGTATACACGCAGGACTGGAATTGCTCAATTCTGTAACTTCTCCACAGCGGCTGTGCCCTTTCATGTTCCCACTGACAGCACCCGAAGACCTCAGTTTCCCCACATGCTCACCAGCACTTACTGTTTTCTCTTTCTTTGGTGGTAGCCACCCTACTGGCTGATACGAGGTGGTGCCTCAGTGTCGTTTTGATTTACATTTCCTTAATGTTCTGTTACATTGAGCATCTTTTCATGCTGGCCAGTTATGCATCTTCTTTGAAGAAATGTCTGTTCAACTCCTTTGTCCATTTTTGAATTAGGTTTTTTTTTTTAATTGTTGAGTTTTAGAAGGTCTCCATATACTTTGGATATTAATCTGTCTTTTGATGCATAATTTTTTTAAATTTTCATGAAGTCCAATTTATGTTTCTAGGAACTTGTCCATTTCACCTGGGTTACCTAATTTGCTGGTGTACATTTATTCATAGTGCTTTTAAGTTTATTGACTTTAATTTTTTTTTAATGTTTATCTTAGAGACAGATAGAATGCAAGCTGGGGAGGGGCAAAGAGAGAGAGAGAGAGAAAGGGAGACACAGGATCGGAAGCAGGCTCCAGGCTCTGAGCTGTCAGCACAGAGTCTGATGGGGGTTGAACTCATGAACCATGAGATCATGACCTGAGCTAAAATCAAGAGCTAGACGCTTAACTGACTGAGCCACCCAGGCACCCCTCATAGAGTTCTCTTATAATCTTTTTTATTTCTGTAGAATCAGTAGTAATGTTCCCACATTCATCAATGATTTTAGTAATTTGAGTTTTTTTTTCCTTAGGAAACTGAGCTAAAGATCTGTCAATTTTTTTTAATCTTTTCAAAGAACCAACTTTTGGTTTCATTGATTTTTCTCTATTGCTTTTCTATCTCATTTATCACTGTCCTAGTCTTTATTATTCTCTCCTTCTGGGTTTAATTTATTCTCTTTCAAGCGCAAGATGTAAAGTTAGGTGATTGATACGGGCTCTTCTTTTTTTAATCTAAGCTACACATTTCCTTTGCACTACATTTCTTGCATCCCATAAGTTTGGGTATATTGTTTTCACTTTGATCTGTCTCAAGATGTTCTCTAATTTTCCTTGTAATTTCTTCTTCGACCCACGGGCTCTTTACCAGTGTGTTGCTCGGTTTCCACAGATTTGTAAACTTTTCAGTTTTCTTCCTGTTACTCATTTTTTACTTCATCCAGTCCAGAGAAGACACTCTGTGAAATATCTGTCTTTGTGAATCTATTGAGACCATGTAGCCTTATGATAGTCTTTTCTGGAGCCTGAGCCAGGTGCACTTAGGAAGAATGTGTATTCTCTTGTTGGGCAGAGTGTTCTAGATGTGTCTTGTTAGAGCTAGTGGGTTTATTGGGGTGTGTAAGCCTTTGATTTCCTCGTCATCTTTCTGGTTGTTCTGTCCATCATTAAGGACAGGGTACTGACATCTCCAAGTGAACCCTTCAGTTCTGTCAGCATTTCCTTCTTATATTTTGCTGGCATGGTATTATACACACAACTATTGTATCTTCTTGGCATATTGACTTTTTATTAATATATAATGACCTTGCTTTCTTGTAAACTTTTTGATTTAAAGTCTGTTCTGTCTGGGACGTCTGCATGACTCAGTCAGTTAAGCGTCTGACTTCGGCTCAGGTCAGGTCATGATCTTACAGTCAGTGGGTTTGAGCCTCCCGTCGGGCTCTATGCTGACAACTCAGAGCCTGGTGCCTGTGTCGGATTCTGTGTCTCCTCATCTCTCTCTGCCCCACCCCCACTCACATTCTCTCTCTCTTTCTCTCTTCCCCAAAAATAAATACTTAAAAAAAAAAAAAAAGCTTTAAAGCCTGTTTTGTCCACCTTATTCGCACAGCCACCCCTGCACCCTGGTTACTGTTCGCATCAAGTCTCTCTTTCCAGCTTTTAACTCTCGACCGCTTTGTGTCTCAGTAGACCAGAGTGAGCCTCGTGTTGACAGTGTAGAGCCTGGACAGTGTTTCCTTAGCCATCCTGCCCCCGCTGTCTTGTGCCTGGAGAGGGTCACCATTTCCCTTTGAAGGGATGCTTGCCGCTGAGGAGAGACCATTGTCGTAGGCCGGCCTGCTTTTGCAGGGCACTGTGGGCCTTTCCCGTCCCGTTTCTCTGCGGCGTTCGCTTTTGGTACTGACACGTTTTAGTTCCCTCCCCGTTTCCTTTTCTGTATGTTCTGCAGCTGTTTTCTTAGCAGTTGCTGTGGGGATTACACATGATGTCCTGAGGTTGTAACGCTCTATGGTGTGAATTCACACCAGCTTATGGGGCGAGCGTCTAAACCCCAGCCTGTCATTGTAAGACCAGAGCACCTGTTCTGCTTCCATCAGAGCATTTTTGTGAGGCTCAAACACGACCAGCAGTAAAAGCTCCATGTGAACTATGGGACACGGACATGTCGTTATCTGTTACCATTGTCTCTTCGTACCCGCACCTGCGCTCTGGGCCGCACGAGTGGATACATCCATGGTTTTGATCACAAATCAGTGTAACGGTGTTTGCAACTCCTTTTTAATCAGGCTTTCACAGAAACACAACTGCCTTGTCTCGTAGAACATTTTTTCTTCTTTAAAACAAATCTACAATGCAACAAGTTCGTGTTAGGAACACTGGCTGTCTTCACTGTACCACCGAGGCATGTGGGAAACGCAAAGCTTTGTCCCGCCCTGGGGCAGCAGGACCACGTGCGGGGACGGGGCTGATGGTGAGGAGGCCTGCACAGCGGCCCGGGGAGAGGGGCTGGTTCGGGGGCCCCGCGGTCCATGACACTGCAGGCTGGCACTTCACCTCCAGAGCAGGGTGTCGCTGGCACCCGGCTGGCCCTGGCCACCTCACACTGAGCCTAGAACATTGGAATCCCCGTGTGAAATGCTGGCGCTGCCCTCAGAGCACAGGTCTGTTAGACATGGCAGGGGTCGCCTGAGTGGCTTCCTTGGTTGAGCTTTTGACCCTTGATTCCCACTCAGGTTGAGATCCTGGGGTGGTGGGATTGAGCCTTGTGCTGGGCTCTGCGCTGAGCATAGAGCCTGCTTGTGATTCTCCGCCCGCCTGTCTCTTTCTCGCTCTCCCTCCCCTCTTTGCCCCCTCTCCCATTTGCATGCTCTCTCTCTCTCTCACTCTCTCTCTCTCACTAAAAAATGATTGTAAAGAGTGGGGAGTGAAAAGCAAATGGTGACATACTCCACACAGTCACAGTAGGACAGCACTACGGAGACTGGTGTGGAGACCCCAGGGAAGGGCCCTCTGGGAGGCCACACACACGGCTGTTATTTCCGCCTCTGCAGCTACCTTTGCGTGAGCGGTCAGGGAGACAGCTCTTCCTAGGAGCTCTGCACAGTTGTGTTCCGGTCCCCACTTGTGGTTGGAGGGCCCACGTTGCCACATCCCACACCCTGAGCCTCTCTGCCTGGGTCTCCGTGGAGACCAGCCTCTCCTCCCTCGGATTGGCTTGCAATTGTTTCCGCATCATGGCTCGCTTAGAGCTGTGGATAGTAAATATTTCCTGATTCCCTTAATCTTGCAGGCTGTGTGTTACATGGATTGTTGTGGGCATTCTGCTTCCACAAACACTGGTTTCTTTTTATTTTTAGTATGAGCAGGCAAATTATCAGCAAAACATATTAACTTAGTGGCACTTGATAAGTATTTAAGAACCTACCATGTTATGCGGTGTTTTACATATTTGGAAGGTCCAGGGGTTCATGCTAAAAGCATAGCAGATCTCAGAAACAGCTGCTTTCATCGTGGAGCGCCGTGCCCCTCCTACGGGACGAGACTTAATGACAGGGTTGGCCTCAGCGAGCTCTCCTCTCGCCAGAGGGAGCAAGCAAGTGCACCACTAACTCCAGCACCAGGTGACAAGCGCTGAGTGGCCGTGAGGCTCCCATGGCACAGGGGCTAAAGAAAGGAACGGGGTATCCCGATGAGCAGATGGGGGGAGGCCGTGGAGGCGACCTGGCAGATGGGTCTCAGACGCCACGGCCCTTGGTCAGCCCAGATGGGGCAGAGGAAGGTGTGCGTGCAGAAGGAGCAGCTGCAACAGAGATGGGAAGGTCAGAAGACTGACCTCAGCCTTTCCCAGCAACCTCAGCCCTGGGGAACTGCGCCTACGTCCTTCTTTCCCTGCCGGCCTACGTGGGCCATTGGCCACAGTGGCCCTTCACACCTCTGCTTCTGTGAGCCCTTGCCCCCTCCCCCCCCATTTTCATTCCTTGGTGAGAATGTACTGCCCCTCCCCCTCCTCCTGGCTAAGACCCCCTCCCATCACTATGGCCCTCACCCTGGGCAGGTGTGCCGGATGCGTGTGTGTCGTGAATTTCTCAACCAGGGACAAGGGACATGCTCTTTTCTTACTGTCACCTGGGTGGGTTTTTTTGTTTTTTTGCCTTAAAACACCAGAAATTTATCCTGTTATAGTTCTGAAGGCCAGGAATCCAAAGTCAGTATCACTGAGCCTTAAACAAGGTGTCAGCAAAGATGCATTTCTTTTTTTTTTTGTTTTGTTTTGTTTTTTAATTTCCATCCAAGTTAGCACATAGTGTAGCAATGATTTCAGGAGTGGATTCCTTAATGCCCCTCACCCATTTAGCCCATCCCCCCTCCCACAACCCCTCCAGCAACCCTCTGTTTGTTCTCTATATTTGAGTCTCTTAGGTTTTGTTCCCCTCCCTGCTTTTATATTGTTTTTGCTTCCCTTCCCTTATGTTCATCTGTTTTGTATCTTAAAGTCTTCATATGAGTGAAGTCATATGATATTTGTCTTTCTCTGACTAATTTCACTTAGCATAATACCCTATAGTTCCATCCACGTAGTCGCAAATGGCAAGATTTCATTCTTTTTGATTGCTGAGTAATACTCCATTGTATATTCACACATCTTTTTATCCATTCTTCCGTCGATGGACATTTGGGCTCTTTCCGTACTTTGGCAGCGCTGCTGTAAGCATTGGGGGGCATGTGCCCCTGTGCATCAGCACTCCTGTATCCCTTGGATAAATACCTAGTAGTGCGGTTGCTGGGTCGTAGGGTAGTTCTAGCTTTAATTCCTTGAGGAACCCGCACAGTTTTCCAGAGCAGCCGCCCCAGCCTGCATTCCCATGGGGTTTTTTCACCTTCTGCCCCCCTGACTGCTTTCCTCCTGCTGACCCGTTTGCGTCTTCTCTTCGCAGATGAAGCTCCTGAACTTGTACATAAAGAGGGCCCAGACCACCAACAGCAACAGCAGCTCCTCCTCTGACGTGTCCACACACAGCTAATGGCGGCACCAGAGTCTCCTTGTGTTGCCCTAGAAGCAATCGGTGGTGCCTCTCAGAGACCTCTCCCCACCCTCCCCCTCATCGGCTGCCCAGTCAGTACAAGGAGGCCCGCAAATATTTATTACAATCAGTATTTTGGTCCCTTCCAGCTTTTGTGTAGAATCTTACTGGTATTGAATGTAAAGGAAGCAAGGCCTGCACTGCAGTCTTCATAGAAACGAATGGAATAAGAAAAGAGCCATACTTAGCCATGTCCCGTTCAGCCTGCTGAGATCACACTCCCGTGGGGGGGGGCGCGGGCCTAACGAACCAGAGCTCCAGCCACTTGGGTAGAAGGTAGCATTTTCTCCTAGTTGACAGCAGTTGAGGAGGGTGTGTTCACTCGTGCTTCTGTCTCATCTCGCTTGCTTCCTTCTGGATCCGGCCTGCGACAGCGGGAAGGGGCGTCCGTCCTTCAGGTGCGCTGCGAGAGCTGCTGAGAACGTGAGTCCCACCCCGGCGGGAAACAGGGAAGCCTCAAGGCGGCCTGTGAACAAACACGTGGGATTTTGCTTGGACCCTTTCTGGACCAGAGGCCCCTTCCCGGATGGCCCCCACGGCCTCTGAACACTCCACTCGTGCTGTCCACACCCAGAGCTTCTACTCGAAAGCACTCTCTCTCTCTTCCGTTTAAATCCAAACAGAGAAGCGAAGGTAAATCTCTAGTCTCCGTTGTCGGTGCCTAAAATGGCGCTGCGTGAAGCCCGGAAGACAGCGCGGAGGCGAGTGTGTCTGCGTCACCACCCAGGTGCTGGGGCCCTGTTGCTGCGTCAGGGTCTTCGGGCTCGGCGCCGTCCCCTTTCCTCGCCCCCCGCCCCCCCTCCCCGCCTCCGCCACCGCCGGAGCCGCTCGGCTAGGAGGTGTTCTCCGTCAGCCCGACGAATGGCGGCTCTGCCTGCCCAGGCTTGACTTCATGGCTTAATCTGGGATTAGATCAGGGGCAAGTTAGACACACCAGGTATCAGAATTGCTTTTTTAATATTATGGACGGAAGTACTTCATTGGTTATCTGTTGAAATAGTTTAAGGAGAAAGTAATGGTGAGCGGCAAACTACGAAAAACAGGATTTGAAACCCAGTTTTAAAGTTCCTTCGCTGAGAAATTACCAGAGAAACTACCCTTCCTAACCATTTTTCTTAAGGGTTTGCTCCAATGAGAGGAACTATAAAGATTTAGAGTCTGGCTAAATAAGTTTTGAGTAAAATTGTTAAAGCCAAGTGGAAATTCTCAGTGCAGTCAGGAACCTTCTCTCCTCTCTCTAAATTGGCCTGGGTTTCCCTGGGGAAATGCTGTGCTGGTGTTAGTGTGTAACGAGGTGTTTGCTGAGCCCCCCGCAGCCAGCAGCACCGAGAAGCGGAGACTGTGGGTCGTCCCCGCTGACACCCCCACACCCCCAGTCTCTGCCCCCCCTCCCCCCTCTTCCCCCCCCTCCCCCCTCTTCCCCCCCACCTCCCCCCTCTT